TTTTTTTAAAGTTAAAAAAAAATTTTAATTAAAATTTTTTTAAAAAGAGAATACATTTTTAATATAAGTAGACAGATTATATTTTGCATCTGCTGGCAATAAGAGTTAATGCGTGTAACACAATTGTTTAAATCTCCATACTGCCATTTAGGAATAAGAAAAAAATATTTAAGTGCATGGTGAGTGCTAAATGAGATACTGCATCAAAGTTTTTATTCGACTCTATAATTTCTAATGAGCTCTTTGCCAGTTTTATGATGTCGTCTCTTAATGGTTTGGGGAAAGCATTTATACACAAGCTGTAACATAGCTGTTTCCTCCAGGCTGAACATGACCATGGCTGTCTGGAAGCCAAGGACTGGAGTGACCTTCAGGAGTCCCTCAGGAGACTCAGGCCTTTTAACATTCCGTGGAGGGAGAGGTAAGGTCCTGGGACTCAGGAGGCCTTCTCAAATCCTCACAGGCCCCTCCCCTCTCCAGGATTCCACTGTATAAAAATCAAATAATTGAAATAGAGCTTCTCTGTGGTATGGCTGCCTTTAAGTTATCCAGGGGACTCCCTAGTGTGTTGCTGCCTGTGCATCGAGATGGACTCTTTTCCTCAGTCTGTCAGAGCCCTCTCTATTTGGGGCGAACAGACATTTTTCAATGTCTCCTCAGGAAAAGACACAATGTGAGCGTATCAATGGTGTGGTTTTACTAATTCTAACATCCGCCTTGCTGGTTTGGGTGCCTACTGTTTTGCTTGGTTCTTCTGGCTTAACATGCCTTGAATCTTCGTTTGTTTTACAATCTCCCATCTTTTCTGAGCAAATTAATGCTTAGTGATCGAGACCCAGAATAATACTGCTTTCCACTACAATGGCTTTTCATTCTCTCCCCTTACACTTGGATTGTGCTAGCAGCTTGGAACTAAGATTCAGGGTTACAGGCCAGAGTAAAATCAATATCATATGTTTCTGGGTCATTGTCTTTATCTCAAAGCAGAGAGAAGGGAGTCACATTAGGACTCCTCTGTCTTTGAGGGGGATGAATACCAGTCCGCAAGCCTTCAGCAGCTGAGTCCTCAAAAGCTTCACTGTGTCTCAGCTACATTCAGTAAGTTGCCAAAGAGCCTCAGAGCCAAAATGGCAGTTCTTGAGGGTCCAGGACACAGAGCAGTGATTTCCCAGACCTCAGTGAAGTGCTGCCTCTCAGCTGCTTTTTGAGTGTCAGCAAATCCTCCTCGCCAAAAGCATTCTGGTCTACCTCTTGGAACTCTATCTCCTTGTTCCAATTACTTCCTATATCGAAGGTATTACAGTTTGAATGTGAAATGCCCCTCACAGGCTCACATGTTTGAACACTTGATACCCAGCTGGTGGCCCTGTTTTGGAGGACTGTAGAACCCTTGGAGCACGAGGCGTGGCTAATGGAGGTGGATCACTAACTGAGGGCCATTGAGGATATAGTCTGCCCTGTTTCTGGCCCAAGCTCTCTGCTTCTCTTGGGTGTTATATTAGAAGCAGCTGCAAGCTCTTGCTGCCACAAACCAAGCCTCTTCAACCCTCCCCACTATGATGGACTGTGTCTCTTAAACCATGAATCAAAATAAACTTCTCTTCAAGTGGTCAACTGACTTTCTCCTTTCCCCCCTTTTATTCAGTCTGAGATCCCAGCCTATAGAATGGCACCCACATTCAGGACGGGTCTCCTACCCTCTGTTAAACCTCTCTGGAACATCACAGATACACTCAACAGTATGCTTCATTAATGCCATGCTCTAGGTGTTTCTTAATCCAAGCACTTGTCAATGGAAATTAACCATAAGAATTGTTTCTGGGAGATATTTTGTCACAGTGATACTAATACATTAGTTGCCTGGTACTTGTCAGTATGTGTGTGTGTGTGTGTGTGTGTGTGTGTGTGTGTGTCTGTGTGTGTGTGATTTGGCTTTTCATGTTGACTTCGTGCAGGAGACTTGTTTGGAATTGTAGCCTGCCAGTCCTGGAATCTAAAATATGGGCTAATATTATAGTTGGAGAGGCCAAAAATAAATATATTGTGCCAGATAGGTTCAAGGGAAAAAAAATAAGGCATAATAAGGGAGACAGTGATGCCAAGGATGGAGGAGTTTCCAAAAAGACCTTTCCAAAATAATGACTCTTAAGCTTATAACTACCAAAAGTGAGAGAGGTGATTGTTTCAGACAATTTTGGGGATTTTAGGGCAGTGTATGCAGAAGGGGTACAGGCACAAAGAGATAAAATTTTGAGGTAAGAGAGGTAGATGGGGCCTTGCAAGTCATTATACTGTTCTTGGATTTTACTCTGAATTAGAGGAGAAGCCATTAAAATTTCTGAGCAAGAGGGACTAACTTGATCTTTCCTGCATTTTAAGAAGCTCACCCTGGCCTCTATATCAAGAACCTCTGATAATGGATAAAGGAAGAAGTGGTCCCAGCTGGGAAGTTGCTGTCATAATGCAGATGAGAGGGTGAAGCATCATGAAAGGTATTTTGAAATATTACTTTTGATTAGGCCTGGCATCAACTCTATATAGAAAGTACCATTGCCATTTTACAGATGGAAATGGAAGCTCAGATAGGCTGAGTGATTTGGCCAAGATCACACAGCAGTTAACTTGCAGAATCACTACTCAATCTCACCTTTTGGGATCCTAGAGCCCATGGTGCTTTTACTAACCATTCTAAGTTAAGTTGCTCTGGGGAATATTCCCACTGGAACCCCACTCATCTAGTCTGGATCAGAAACAGAAGCATAATTTCCTGGGAGAGCCCAGGCTTTAATAAATTCTGGAAATTATTTCTTTTTAAAAAATATTTTATTTATTATTTTTATTTTATGTGTATATGTGTATTGCCTGCACGCATGTGAATGCACCCGTGTCATACAATGCCACGGAGGTCAGAAGAGAGCTTCGGATTCCCCTGGAACTGGAGTAAAGGACGGTTCAGAGCCTCCATGTGGGTGCTGGGAATCAAACCCCATCCTCTGCAAGAGCAGTCAGTGCTCTTAATTGCTGAGCCATCTCTCCAGCCGGAAATGATTTTCTTTTACCTACAAATCCGTGGGCCCCTAGAACTCAAAGGATGAGTGTCCATACCTGCTGCTGGCATAGGGTTTCTCTCCTCTCTCTCTCTCTCTCTCTCTCTCTCTCCTCTTCTCTATTTGGGATTTGAGTATCTCACTACCCTAGGCAGTGCTTTTCCGTGCCCAAGAATCAGAAGCTGGGTCTTCGCGCTAATACCTCCTGTGGCCTCAGGAACACAGGCACACTGATTACCAGTCAACCTTGGGTCGAAGAACTTTCCCGACTCAGCAAGGCTGCCAGTTCCTCCTACACAATTCTTTGCCGCTTGTTGGCAGTGGTATCCAGGAGTGGCTGGAGAGTTCTGATAACAGCTTGCTGGTTCGATTCCAGCACAGGAGCTCAGACCGCGCTGAAGACTTATCAGAAGGTGAAAAAAAAAATCACTGACAGAGGAAATTAATAAGGACCACTTCCGAAACTTTGCCTCCTTCCACGATGCGTTCATGACTAAAGCATCACCTTGGAGCTAACTGAGACGCCAGAAAACGAAACAAACCCCATGAATGGAAATTAACAATCAGGCTGTGACCCACTTATAGTGATCTCTTGCCAAAGGCCTGCCAGAGAGCAGAGCACGCACCCTGAGCTAAGGGGCCTGTGTGTTCAACCGTCTGAGGGAAATGACACAACATCCTCCTGATTCCCTTGCCGGACTGCCCCCTCTTGCCTTCTCACTCCGCTCTCGGGACCTTTTCCAGGCAGAGAGTTGGAAAAGGGACCACTATGAGCCACTGTGGACCCTGGCTTGTTAAAATTATATTCTTACTGGGGCTGGAGAGGTGGTTCAGTGGCTAAGAGCACTGACTGCTCTTGCAGAGGACCCAGGTTCAATTCCAGCACCCACATGGCAGCTAACAACCATCCGTAACTCCAGTCCCTCTTATGACCTCTGCAGGCATTGCACAACATGGGTGCACCTACCTACATGCAAGCAATATACTCACACATATAAAAAATAAAAATAATAGAATATTTTTCAAAAATAAATCTCATTCCCTTGAGAGAGCATGTAGAAATTCAGTAATAATTAACCCACAGTATCTTGGTGGAGGGCAGAAGAAACTGAATGAGGAAGATGTCCAAGTTGCAGAGCACCTTGAAGCCATAAAGCTATATAAACTAAAGGTGCTCTGCCAGAAAAGGACTGTGTAAATGAGTTGATGAGACTAGCAACTGACCTGGGGGATGGACAGAAGTGAAGGATGGGCCACTTCTGAGGGTCTTTGGAATCCTGATGTTTTCTTTTGTTTTTGAGACAAAGTCTCCCTATAGTCCCAGCTGGACTGGAACTTAACCATATAAACCAGGCTGGCCTTGAATTCAGAGAGATTCACCTGCCTCTGCCTCCCAAGTGCTGGGATCAAAGGTGTGCGCCACCACACCTGTCTCTGATGCTTTCTGATTCTGGATCCCTTGGAACTGGAGTTATGGACAGTTGTTAGCTGCCATGTGGGTGCTGGGATTCGAACCTGGGTCTTCTGCAAGAAGAACTTAACCACTTAAGCCATCTTAACCACTGAGCCATCTCTCCAGCCTCGAAACGCATTCTTTAAGTGCTGGTTGCAACTAAACATATGAGCACAGCTGGGAACTTCTGAACGTTTAAGTAGAAGATCATTAATTACTTTGGGAAGTTTGCAGAATGACCTCAAACACAGGGTTTGGATTCTATAAAGATCCAGGTCTTCATTCAATTTTCTGAAAGATTTTTGAGAGACCCAGGCTCTCATTCAGTTATAAGAATTATAATTCCAGATGTGTCCCTTAAACTACAGGCCATCTGCATGATGGAGTACCAATCACCCAAGACTGATGAATTTCCTAAGCTAACACACAAAGCTCTTGAAACATCAGTGGCTTTGTCTTATTACATTAAGTGTTGAGTATTTTTGTAGCTGTTGTTATTGTTGTTTTGTATCAGACTGAACCTAGGGCCTCACACATGTTAGACACACTCTCAACGACTGAGCTAGATGCCCAGTTATCTTTTACCTTTTTGTCTTGAGACAGGATCTCACAAAGTTAATCACTTGAGATCCTCTTGCCTCATTCCAGGTACATCATTTCTATCACACCAGCACAGCCGTTTGCATCAGTAAAATGTTTGGATCAGCCCTTCATGTTGATGGAAATATTCTTCCTAGCAACAACCAAACAAATGTCTACTTAAAATAACATTTTTAAACTCCAAAGTATTCTCTTTTTTCAAGTTTTTTAAAATTGATTTTTTGCAAATTTCACTCAATAGATTTTGATCATGTTTAGACCCCCCTCCCCTATCTGCACTCTGTTTTTGTTCCTTTGTCTGGAGATAGAATCTCACTATGTAGCCCTGACTGGCCAGAATTCCCTTTGTAGAACAGGCTAGCCTCAAACTCATTGAGATCCTCTGTTGGGATTAAAAGTTCGCACCACCACGCTGGTATGAAAGTGTTCTCCCTGAAACAGGAACAAAAGCCACTGAATGGTTACTTCTGTCTACCTTCTCTCAATCTGCAGTGATAATGAAAGCTAAGAAGAACCAGGACCAGACATCCCTCACCAGGACTCCCAGAGGAAGCTTGCAGACTTCACTGTAGTGTGCTGAGGCTCACTTCAATTCAAGCTCTGTTGTATGAACAAGTCTTCCCTGTTTTCAAAGACTTCTGACAAGAAATTTAACAGCTACGCCTCCAGGAGGAGGAGGGGCCCACAGACTGCTGCTTTGCGTCTTTTCCTCCTGCCAAAAACACAGGAGTGGCTTTCTAATAGATATGTGCACATGCAAGGCATCATTTTCAAAACGTGTACAAGGGAAAACAAGTGGCAGCGCTGAGTTTACTGAGCATCTCTACCCAACCGCAGGCATTAGGGATCCTCACAAAGTGGTGATGTAGGACCTGTGTCCTTTTAACACACTGCTTTACTCTCTCAGCTTATTCTAGAAATAGCATTCCCTGGGGTCGCTTGGTCTAAGATGTTATTCTGGCCAGAGTACTTTGTTCAGTTCCACTGCCCAAGTTCCTGCTTTGTTTGTTTGTTTGTTTGCCCCTGACAAGATTAGGCCCTAAACATTAATGTTGCCTGGCAAATTCTGCCTTTGCTGTTGATGCTCCCAGAATAACCATAACCTTTCCTTTCTGAGGGAAGTGACAGTGTACTTATAGGCAGATAGTCCTGGGTTCTAACCTTGAGCCTATCAGGTCTTAGTTGGGTGGTTTTGAGCCTCTATTTTTATTATTAACAAGAACACAAAATAATAAAATGTGATGTCTCAGGACAAATTGCTTCGTAGACCATTATAATATACATTGTCTCATTTTAGTCACAGTACGAAGTATGTACATTATTATTCCCATTTTACAAATAAGAAAAATGAGCCCCTAGTCGCATGGCTAGTAAGGAGCAGAAGTAAGAACTGAATCCTAGCTGATTGCAAAGGTCAACGGACCTTCCTGTGAGATGGCAGGTACACTGAGCTCCCTATACAGACCCTTATTTGTAATGTCCATACTAATCTATGTCAGTAGCTGAGCCTGAGTAATAACAGCATGGATCCCTGGAGAAACAACATAACTCTCTCTTTTGTATATATACACATTTTTTTTAACATGCCTCACAGGTGCTATCAAAAAACATTTGGATCTATAACTACGACTTATCACTTTCCCTTAGGTTCCTGTTGGGGCTGGGGACTGCAAGCTCCTCCTGATTCTGGAGACAGACGCCTGCTGGTGACCGCCTGTGGCAGCTTACCTAAAAGCCCATGACAATCTGGGCAGGCTCCCAGCTGCTGAAATTAGCCTGCAGGATCCTTGTAGGCAAAGGTATATTTTAGGACAGTCATGCTGAACAGCATCACAGAACAGCAAGTGATCAGAGCACAGCCCTTTCCTCATCTCCTCAAGTGTTCAAACGGCTCATGCTCGTGCTTAACCCAGTTTGGTACATTGCTTGCAAGAATCTATTTACCTGAATATCAACTAATATCCATATGCATACAATCCAGGATCAGAATAATACTTTTCTGATAAAATTTAATCATAAAATTCTTTTCTTTAGAGTACTACACATTTTAGTTAGCAAATTCATTTACTATGGATACTTTAATTAGCTGCTAAATTCTTCCAGGGCAATCATTCAGAATGATCGGTGATGATAATGACTGGTGACAATGCTTCCTCTTTTTTTAAAAAAAATTATTTATTATTTTTATTTTATGTATATGTGTGTATTGCCTGCATGTATGTAAGTGCACCTGTGTTGTTCAATGCCCACGGAGGACAGAAGATGCTGTCAGATCCCCCAGGACTGGAGTTACAGACAGTTGTTAGCTGCCATGCGGGTGCTGGGATTCGAACCTGGGTCTTCTGCAAGAACAACCAATGTTCTTAACCGCTGAGACACCTCTCCAGCCCTGTAACAATGCTTCTTAATGAATTGCCATGAGCAATAAGTATTGACTCAATAGCTCAGCATGGAAAGAAGTTTCTGATCTAGGTTGGGAATACCCCAAATAAGACAGGAGAAAACTTGGAATGTATTTATTCCATGCCACCACTAGCAAATTCCCCCTCAGCATAACTTATAAATCAGGAAGCAGGCTAAGAGCCATTATCATTCTCAAGGTCATTCTATGGCAAGAGATGAAGCCAGGAATCCTGACTTCCAGGGCAGAGAAGTCACATCACTTCACATCTGTATTCTACTGAACAGCTGTGGCAGGAACAATGCCCAGGGAACTTGTCAGTCACTCCATCTTTGGATGGAACTCAGAGGCTATCCCCTTGTTTCTATTCATAGGAAGAATCCAAAATACTTGTTGAATAAAAAATAGAGATAAGGCTGGGGAGATGGCTCAGTGATTACAGCACTTGGCATCAGTGCAAGAGGACCAAAGTTGAAATATCCAGAACCTACATAAATGCTAAGTGGGCCTGGCAACTTGCCTATAATTCTAGTCTAAGAATTCAGAAATGGGGATCTCAAAGCAAGCTGGCTAGCAATGTGGGGATGACTTTTAAAATATGGACATGCTCTGGACAGATGGTTTTTTTCTTAACTTACAACCAAAAAATTAAAACTTTTCTGAGCTTGTTTATAATGTAGACAACTCACTGAGCCATGTGCTCCTCTTGTGACTTGGGCATACGACCTTAATCTCTCAGAAACCCTTTCTTGCCCTCTACCCAAGATAGTGTATGATTGCATGTATGTATGTTTTCATTTTATCAAAACATCAAAGTGATGCAAACTGTACTTATCTCATTGGAAGCAATGAGAGAAATTTATAGCATCTGTTTGTTTATGATTGTGTGTGTGTGTGTGTGTGTGTGTGTGTGTGTGTTATTCTAGGTTTGTAGGGGTCACAAGGGACATGATCCTCTGATACAACAGTGCTGCTTTAACTTCCCCATTTCCAGAATTTCATGCTGGATATACTGTTTTAATAAAAGAAAGGACAGGCCTCTTTAGGAGAAAGCTCAGTTCCAAGAGAAATCTGCAAGAACAGGCTCTCAGCAGTTCAGGTCTACTCTTGGCCTTAAAATGGATGCTAAAAGGTTGTTTTCTATTAAGGCATAACTGTTATGTGGCATAGTAAATGCCACAGAGCAAGAGTGAGACTAGCTGTATCTGGGCGCTTTGGTTTTGATTAAGAGATCCTGCCTCAAAAAGTGTAAGATGGGGCTGGGCATGATGGCATACACCCTTAATCTCAGCACTCAGGAGGCAGAGGCAGGTGGATCTCTGTGAGATCAAGGCCAGCCTGGTCTACATAGCAAGTTCCAGGTCAGCTGGGGCTACAGGGAGAACCTGTCTCAAAAAAAGTAAGATTGAAGAATAATCTAGGAAGATTCCCAACATCAACCCTGGGCCTCCAGATGCACACAAACACATGTGCACCCCCACACTGTGAACACAGATATACACACATGTACACCACATATACAAACACAGGAAAACAAGAAAAAGAGAAAAAAAGAAATGTTAACAACTCAAATTTGAGAAGAATCTATAGAAACCTAGACATTTCAAACACCCAGCCTTCTGTTTCATCTGCACAGTCACCTGAAGTTGACAACTGCCCCATTTCACAGACTAGGAGCTGGGACATAAGGGTGTTAGGTAAGTCGGCCATGCATAAGTAATAGATCTAGCATCTGATATTAGACTTTGCGACTCCAGGCCCCTCTGACTTCCTCCCAGTAACAGCTTATTAAAACTTCCATAAGTGTCTCCAGTAGGGAGAATTTAAAGATTCCCCCTTGGTTCTGTAAAGATTCCAGAAACTTCATTATACAATATACTCAATGTTTCATTTTAGGTAAAGACACAGCATTTAGCTCAGTAAGAGGGAAACAGAAACCACCGTCCTTACCCTTGAGAAATTATCCTTCCTTCTGGTTGATGAACTGAAATTCTTCATAGAGATCTTGGTTAAAGTGTGGCTGCTGGCCAGAATGCTAAGAGGGATAATAACAAATTACAAACTCAAGCATCTCCCCTACTGTTTCATTGTAGAAAGCTTGTTGCTACACAGATAAATCTTCTAACCAGTACACAGGAGAAAAACAATACCAGTTCTGCATTTTGCCCAGATTGACAGTCATATGCCACATGGGTTTACAATTTACCATATGATATTAAAAGCTCTGATTCACCATTGTGTTTGTTTGTTCAGTCTGTTAAGATAGGGTCTCATATAACTCAGGTCAGCCTTGAACTCATTTTATAGTCAAGGATGATCTTGAATTCCTGCCGCCAGATGCCACTATCTCCAGCTCTCAAATGCTGGGATTGCAGGCCTCTCCCATCATGCCTGATATGAACCCACCATCTTTACCTTTAATTCTTTCAAATACACAAATTTTCCCCTAGTCATTACTGGGCCAACTGTGAATATGCAGCTCTTATTAAAATCTCCCTGACTTGTACAGATCTATATCAATCTTAGTCTCTCCCTCCCTCCCTCCCCCCCCCCCTCCCACTCGCTCTTTTCCCCTTTCTCTATTTATTTTATTTGTTTTTTCTACATTTATTCTTTCACTTTCTCTTACTTTTTCCCTCTGTTCCTCTTATTCTTCCTATATTTATTACATTGGCTTGCTATGCATATTGTACACCTCTAGATATTTAAAGTTATAATTTAGTAAACTATAGAGAAGCCAAAATTGGAAGTTGGGGTTTAATTTTTTTTTCTTAAAAGAAATGGGTAGAAGTGTACCAGCCCAGAATGGTAAAGACCAAATCTTTTGACAATTGGGGAGCTGCTGATAGACTCTGTGTGAGTGGCTGCCCGCTGCATGGAGAGGCAAAGGGCAGGTGGTGCATACTGCTTAATTGTCTCTCCTGCCAAAACCAACACCTCTTCCTCCTGCTTTCTCTTCCTTCCTTTCCGCTCCCTCTGCACCCAAGTGCAGCTCAGCATCAGCCTCACCTCCGTCCACTGGTACCAACAATGGCCTTCCGGTGACTGAGTGTATTAAGTACCTTTTAGTTGCCATTGTGTGACTTTTATGCCACTCAGTTTGTTTCCTTCTCCTCAAACTCTCCTCTTTAGGCCAATACTAA